CCCCGGTCTGACATTGGGAATTAGCAGATTCCTACCGGTGAGATATTGGCAATTAGCAGATTCCTACCAGTGAGATATTGGCAATTAGCAGCATTCCTAGGGTTTAGATTGATACTGTCGATTCCAACAGGGTACTTCTCTGAAATCCGATTCCTACAGGTAACATTTTTACCAGAGCTCATCCATAGGGGGGGTGCGGATAATAAATGGAATGACCCGTATGATATTCGACCCTCTATATTCGACTATTTCTTCACAATTTTCCAATAAAGAGTTTGTCATGACACGCCCAAGTCAGTATAACCAGACTGTATTTTATTTATATCAGTTATCACAGCCACAGGCAATTTTATGCTGTCAAATACCGTCGGTGGCAACTAAGGGTGAACAGTTGCAGATAAAACATTTTCTATTCTCATTAAAAAGCCTGTAAAGGTTTCCAGTAGGTCTCTAGCCCAACAAGTTCCGACAAAGTTTTGTTACTTATTTTTATTGCACACATGGGAAACAACAATTAAGTGTTGTTGTTCTTGACAAACATTGAAGATTCTAATCACGCCAATGTTTTTATGAGCGACTGTTCATCGTTAGTTGCAAACGACGGTACAACATACTATGAACATTTTTCCGACTGTGACCGAATGTGCAACGATATATTTTTCAAAGTTGTTTAATTAATAACAATTCCTAAAATTTGTTTATAGTAAAACAGCCTGCTCAGCACTCACTACTCACGATGATTTCATTTAGAAATGCAGTTACCAGGAAAGGAACTGATTCTAAAATATGTAAATTTAAAAGCATTGGCTATTACGATGTGAAGACAAGGTACAAACTTTTATAGTTGCTATTTGTTATAAATCCTATAAATAAACCGATTCAACAATAATTTTGCCTCGAATTTGCATATTCTATGCTGCATGTTTATATTTTATTTTTATAGTATAAAAATAAAATTGTAATACTATGAAATAAAATACATTTCTGTTTATTGACCAGTACTTATTTAATGTCTTCTTCATCCAGTGGTCAGAGTAAATTTCTACTTCTAGCAAGTAAATATTTGACAAGCAGTCTGGAATAAGCACAGGACTTTTAATGCATCAGCCAAATCCAAGTGTGCCCATCCCCCTCGCCCAGCCATTTTCCTGTAAAGCACATCCCGGGGGTTGGGCATTTCCACTCGAACCTTAGCCCCGGCGGGGCATTTGAAATTAATAATTTGGATTCTTGCACTTCACTTGTGGAATTAATATTAGAATGTTAGGGTTTGTAATCCAAGTGAGCTAGAATATATACATGTATATATTTTGTAATCCAAATGAGAATATTTTGTAATCCAAGTGAGAATATACAAATGTACCGGTATAGTACATGTATATATTTGGTGTATATATTTTGTAATCCAAATGAGAATAGTTCGTAATCCAAGTGAGAATATGCAAATGTATATATTCTCACTTGGATTACAAACCCTAACATTCTAATTTTAATTCCACCAAGTGAAGTGCAAGAATTCAAATTATTGAAGTCCACCTTATCACAACCCGCACACCTGATTACCTAAATATACATGAACTTACGGTTAAAGCTCGACAGCTGGTCTCTTGTAGCTCAGTTGGTTAGAGCGCTGCACCGGAATCGCAGGGCCGTAGCTTCAATTCCTACCAGAGGACCTTGTGCTGCATTTTTCACAGTCGTTCCTTGTTAGGTCTTAAAATGTATTATTATATTCTCACTTGGATTACAAACCCTAACATTCAACTATTAATCCCAACAAGTGAAGTGCAAGAATCCAAATTATTGAAGTCCACCTTATCATAACCCGCACACCCGATTACCTAAATATACATGAACTTATGGTTATAAAGCTCAACAGCTGGCCGAGCTGTAGCTCAGTTGGTTAGAGCGCTGCACCGGAATCGCAGGGCCGTAGGTTCAATTCCTACCAGAGGACCTTGTGCTGCATTTTTCGCAGTCGTTCCTGGTTAGGTCTTAAAATGTATATATTCTCACTTGGATTACAAACCCTAACATTCTAATATTAAGTCCACCAAGTGAAGTGTAAGAATCCAAATTATTGAAGTCCACCTTATCATAACCCGCACACCCGATTACTTAAATATACATGAACTTACGGTTAAAGCTCAACAGCTGGCCTCTGTAGCTCAGTTGGTTAGAGCGCTGCACCGGAATCGCAGGGCCGTAGGTTCAATTCCTTCCAGAGAACCTTGTGCTGCATTTTTCGCAGTCGTTCCTGCTTAGGTCTTAAAATGTATATATTACAAACCCTAACATTCTAACCCTAACATTCTAACATTTGAAGTTAAGGATTTGGAGGTTTTGCGATCACCGACAACTTGATAATTTTATAAAACAAAACACTTCTATCTCCAACTTTTACAATCACTGATAAATTGATAATAATTTAAACCAGTCTAGCTGTAGTTTAAATAGAGAATAATACATGGGTGCATGAAATACCAGATTTATTTTGAGTGTTGAACATGAGTGTGCAGCGAACAAGTGAGCGCAGCGAACGAGTGAGATGTCATGTTCAACACAAAAAATAAATCTGGTATTTCCAACCACCCATGTATTTTTCTGTTTATTATATAAAGGACAGTCTTAAATGAAAAGCGATAATGTTTACAGAAAAGCGATAATTGAAAAAGCTATAAATTTTTACATGTGAGATTATCATGAATAATTTCACATCTGAGATTATCATTTTTGTCAGTGCTCGAAAACTCTGTAAAACACTATACTTTATATAATAAAAATTCATAAATTTGAACCATGCTAGAGCATGACAACAGCAAAATGCTCTATAGTATGATGCACAATATTTTGGGAGGTGATCGAAATACACGAACAATAAATCAGAGAGTGTTTGCTTGGAACTCACTGGGGGGGGGGGGCAACACCCCTGATTATTGCTCATGATGAATTTCAGGTAGATTTCCAGTGCACTTTTAGTACGTACATTTAAGTAGATTTGCAGAAGATTTTCAGGAGAATTCAGGTAATTCTCAGGACATGAGAAAGTGAATTTGGAAAACAACTGTATTTTCGGAAAAATTATTATATGTCCTGAAAATTTTTTGTATATCTGGAAACATTTTGGTCACCCCCCTACCCCCCTCTATCTAACCTCACACACACCCTGAGACGAAGTGCTCGCAACGGCACTGAGTATACATCTTTTGAAAACAGGCGAGGGGTTATTGCATGCATGTATTTCTAGTAAATATGTACATATATGCACTTACCATATTAAATTGGTTATGAACAAGAATATTGTCCTCCCGTTAAATATAGTCAAATATAGAATAACTGTCGAATAATTAATAAATTATAGTTTTTCACTATCCATGCACGTGCAGCCAACTGGCATTTTAGGGAGCATTGAAATGCCTGCATGCCCTTTTTAGAAGGGAAAACTAACTAAAAACCACCTGGTCACACACGTCATTGTCACACACTTCACTAATTATGATGTGTGTGACTTACCAAAAAAGTGAAAAAAATGTATAATTATTTGCACTAAAGATTAAATATGACTGTAGTTAAAGGTAATGACTTAAGTCGAAAGAAAAAATAAAATATGTACTAATATAAAATTATTGAACATTTTTTAGAAAATATTTCTAAAACAAATTATGACGTGTGTGACTGAAACTTTCGGACAATTTCTTTTGTCCGCAGCTAAACGAAGCGATTGAAGATATCAATATTCTAACTTTTCCTACATTTTACATAAATAATACATTTTTGTTTTCTAAATTGAAAATTTTTCAACTTATTTTACTGTTTGTTCCATGTGGACCAGCATTTCATTATTTTGGTTTATAAAAATTATGACTTGTCAAATATCATCTTGATTAACCTTGTATATTTCTTATGAAAATGAAGTTCTGTGAACGTGAGCATTATTTTTGAAAACTGTGACATATCAGCTATCATAACAGTAGAAAATAAGTTTCTACAGATAAATCTTAGAATTTAGTAAATGCAGCCTGAGTTTATGGAATGGCCCTATATCATAATATGTTGGGAAATTGATAATTTTGTAATTAAAAGTCATATTTTTAAGCGATTTTTCATTTGTAAGAATATTCCACTGAGGAATATTCTTAAAAAATTATTGTGTTACCATGGCAACTACTTTAGATACTTCATGTTCGGAAAATACAATGGTTTTGTCAGCAAGGCGAGGGTTTCTGCATGCATGTATTTTCTAGTAGAAATATAATTGGTACTTATGTATATTATCACTGCTTTGGTGTAAAGCTCCACTGTATGTATGTCAGCTCAGACATAATAGTATCAAGCACATTTTAAATCAGTTTTAACTTGGATTCAAGTAGATCATAGCTGTTTAACCATCGACAAGGTAAAACCTCAACTTTGTCCAACTTCAGCTCCATTTTGTCATCCCATGTCGGTTGTCAACAATTCAGCATTGTTATTCTTCCATCCAAGCCATTTCCATTGCACTAATAACAAATTTAACCCTTTATAAGGGTAGGAAACTAAAAAATCTAAAAATATAAGAAATGCAGCATTTTATCACCCTGTAAAATGTTGCTCATGAGTCTTTCAAAGTAACAGGGAGGTGACAGGGGGTGATTTATTTCACGAAGATAGAAGAAGGCTGCATGAAATAGACTAAAAACTAAATACAATCATACAAACGTTTGTTTTATTTCTTGTAGCGACAAATAAATACATATCATATGAACATGTCATACTATAAATTAAATGTTGATTGTTGGTCTTACCATACTGCAGCTGCTATTACATCGTGCCTTTGTTTCGCTTAAAACTTCAAAGTCTCCACCCTCTGTCACGTCCCTGTTACTTTGCCACACACGATTTGTACGGAATGTTTTGAAAGACTTGTGAGCAACATTTTTCAGGGTGATAAAATGGTGCATTTCTTATATTTTGTTTAGATTTTTTAGTTTCTTCTTACCCTTATAAAGGGTTAAATTTGTTATTAGTGCAATGGAAATGGCTTGGATGGAAGGATGACAAGGCCGAATTGTTGACAACCAACATTGGATGACAAAATGGCGCCGAATTTGGACAAAGTTGTGGTTTTACCTTGTTGATTGTTAAATAGCTAGGATGTACTTGAATCCAAGTTAAAACTTATTTAAAATGTGCTTGATACCATTATGTCTGAGCTGACATACATGTTTGGAAGGATATCAACGACATTGGCAATAAACAGCGGAGTAAAGTGAAGAATTTGGTCAAATACGCCCATTTGCAGGAGGTAGGTAGATTTCAAATTATTATTTTGGTCACAAAGTATCAACTATTTTACACCAAAGCAGTGATAATATACATAATAAGTACCAATTGTCTCTATAAAAAGGATTTAGGAAAAAAGGTAATGTAGGTCCACAGCCCATCTATAATTGATGGACCATCCCTAAGCATTCGAAGAGTCACTATGTGGAAATGCTAAAAACCAATTCTTCTTTATTATTATTATTCATCAAGGTTATAGATGACATTGAAACAATTGGTCAAATAGAAGAAGAGCACACAAGAAAAGTTGTGCAAATGCACAATTTAGCAAGGAACTTTACAGCTGAAATGAAAGAAGAATTGATTGCAAATGGAAAAGAAACCCAGTTTGGGAAAAGTTTTCACAACAAGAAAATTTTCCTTGGCAAGATTGGTGAGGATGAGTATGTTACTGTAGAGGAGTTTGTAGATGGCTTGTTTGTGAAGTATATTAATAATACTGGAGATGTATGTGGAGAGAATGTTGAGCTTTCTGATAAAGCTGAATGTCTTGCACACTTCTCTTAGTCCGTGTGTTGTGACCCGATATCGTTCACTTTCATTAAGCATGTCTTAGATCTGAAATATTTTTACGGGAACTAACACTTTCGAACACACTGAGTTCAAATCCGAAAAGTTCCCACTCCGTAGACCCGCAGTTTTTTCACAAAATGCTATTTTATCTTCACTAATTTCACAACAATTTTTTTCATTGTTCAACGATACGGATCGATGACGATACACGATTATGTCACTCAAAAGGACCAATTTCTATTAACCATTCTTCCTTTTAACAAAAGACCGGTTTTGCTCGAATCATTTTGAGTTATGTAATCTTATGCGTGTTGGACGTAAACAACATATCCTGTCTATAACCTTGAGAAGGTACAGATAACGCTTTCTAAAATCCTCAGTTCTAGAGATATCTCTATAAAATCACAATGACGTTAATGTCAAGTCTTTTAGCTATGTCACTGGCCTGAAAAATAACTCTTTTAACGCGATCAAGATATTTAAAACAAAAGTAACGCGAAGCCAACGTAACGGCAAAGATAACGCTAAAACGAAATATTGTCGAATGGTTGCAGGTAGAAGACTTACGACAGGATCAATCTTAAATAACCTTAAACTATAAGAATAAATGTTCACATCAAAGACAAAGATCAGTCACAAAGTATAAAATACGCTCTGTAAACTTACCGCGAAGTAGAGAAATGTGTGCATGAGCTGTTTATTTGATGATTTCGACGTATATAGAAGCCCTCTTTCCAATAATACTCGCTTATCGCACAGTATAACACCAACTGATGTAATAGTTCAAATGCAATGATAAGTTATCTCCTGAATTACGTCTTGGAAACCGTGTTGGAAATTTCAGTGATGATCCATTACATATAGATTACCGTTTTATATCTTTGTATAAAACATTTTGATCGCATGTAAGGAATTGTTTCTCAGCCCAGAGACATAGCCCAAAGACTTGACATTAACGTCCTTGTGATTTTATAGAAATAGATCCAGAACTAAGGATATTAGAAGGAATTATCTGTACCTTCTCAAAGTTGTAGACAAGATATGTTGTTTACGTCCAACACGCATAAGATTACATAACTCAAAATGATTCGAGCGAAACCGGTCTTTTGTTAAAAGGAAGAATGGTTAATAGAAATTGGTCCTTTTGAGTGACATAATCGTGTATCGTCATCGATCCGTGATGTTGAACAATGAAAAATTTGTTGTGAAATTAGTGAAGATAAAATAGCATTTTGTGAAAAAACTGCGGGTCTACGGAGTGGGAACTTTTCGGATTTGAACTCAGCGTGTTCGAAAGTGTTAGTTCCCGTAAAAATATTTCAGATCTAAGACATGCTTAATGAAAATCGTTTTCTAGGCACTTTTCGAGGTCACAACACACGGACTATCTTACGAACAATCTCAAAAAAAAGTTATGGCCTACTCAACATCCAAGGCTGTGGGTGCACTCTCTTCGACCCCGAAATTGCTTCCAAGCGAATAGTGTCTGAGGATGAATCAACATATTTGTTTTGCACAGGTAATTTGTCAATTACTGCGATAAACAATTTTATTGGCAAACATACATGCAACTTGTATTGCCAACTTAAGTGTAATAAAATATCTCGTAAATTCGCTCAAATAATCGTATAGACTTACTCAGATACTCGTAGATATGCCAATGTCTCGATGTTCGCTTCATATGACTTGTATATCGCTCAAAATCTTGTAAATATTCCACTCAATCGTTCGTAAATTCTTTCGAAGCTTGTCAATTATATCATGTTCATAGATTCTCCTGAAGGACTCGTAAATTCTCTCAAATAACTCGTAGATTGGCTCATATTCTTGAAGTGTTCTCAATTTCAATCTGTTTCAATCCAGCTCAAAGAAGGACCATGTTTCATATTGCATCTCCTTAAACAGGAGTCAACCGATTTATATAACAAAACCATTTAATCTCAATTATATTTATGTACAAACTTAGGCTGACTTTCAAGGCAAATAAACTGTTGAAGTGACTTAAAGTGGCACTTTTAAAAGAAAATGCTCTTAAAACTGTATAGTAACTTGTTTTGAAGATTTTTGTTCTCATGCTTTGTTCTTGAGATAATCCATTTTGTTTGTAACCATGTGACATCATTTACTCAATTCGATATATAATCAGATATCATTAATTTTTGTCTATCTTTGCTATTTTTATCAAAATCTTTCCAAAGATGTGGCACGTTTGTTAATTTAACCTACATCATCCAACTGTAAGACGATAAGGTGGACCAACTTATCGTAGGAGATGCCACAGTCAATTAAGAAATGGTATGATAAAAATTGGCTGTTGACAAAATTAACATTGAGTTGCATTGCACCCTAATCTGCCCTACTTTATCATTTTACTCTCTCTAATGCCAGATGATTTTACTCATCAAGGGGAGAGTGCTGGCACTTAATGGGTTAACTGGCCTATCTGAAAATGTGTCTAGTTAGCCCATTGAGTTGCATTGTGCCCTGATGCACCATACTTAATTATCATTTTACTCTGCTTAATGCCAGACGATTTTAACTCTTCAACGGGAGAGTGCTGGCTTAACTCTAATCAATACGTTTGTAGAAATTGTCCAAAGACAAAATTAAGGATATTACTATATAGATCTATGGTAAATCTTGTATTTTAATTAGTTTTCTAATATTGCACACTGTGCATATCTATCCATATGTTATATTTTGCATGGCCCTCCTGAAAACAGCTTATGAGAAGGAAGTAGGTTCCCTGAGTAAATACTGTAATAATGAGTCCTATACGAATAATTATACATTCATAAAATGAATTAAGCTTGTGTGACCAATGGTGCTGTGAATCAGTTAATTGATCACTGATATTACCTTTTATGCACCAATCCAATATTTTGCAGTACCATGTGTAAGGTGGGCAAATACAGAGTAACAAAGACATATTAACCCATTGAGCTGCAGAGCTTCCCCATTGACAAGTAAAATCTTCTGGCGTTAGACAAGTAAACAAATATAAGTAGGGCGCACTGCGACGTATTGCGACTCAATGGGCTAACTAGAGACATTGTCAGATTTTTTGGTTAATGGTAAACTGCAGAGCTTCCCCAATTGACAAGTAAAATCGTCTAGTGTTAGTCAAGTAAAATAATAAGTAGGGCGCACTGGGGCTCAATGGGTTAACCAACATTTTGACATTTTCATTGAATATTATTTACCCAGGATGTGGTAAATTGAAAATGTTATATACCCATCACCTTGGTTCCCAGGTTCCCTGGTTCCAGAGGCTTTTACGAGGCAAAAGAAACGAGAGGCGAGAACGGAGAGCCTCTGGTCACATCGATTGCAAATCCTCTTTCCAACTTGATCACATGCGAGATTCAAATTCTGAACCTAATCAAGTGTGGAAGTGGGATTTGCAATTGATGTGACCAGAGGCTCTCCGTTCTCGCCTCTCGTTTCTTTCGCCTCATAAAAGTCAGCCTCTGGAACCAGGGCATTACAACAACTGTCCTGAAGCCATAAAATGCATTTGCTCAACAGCAGTAAATAAGTTATGACAACTTATTTACTGTTGTTGAGGAAATAATATGGTTATTATTAGGTGCATTTGGAGTATTTGGTTTGACTGTTTGGCACTTTCATTCACAAGAACCACATACAATACAATTCGTGGAGCCATGGCAAAAGAGTTCCTTCAAAATGTTATAACTGACATGGGAAATTCGATCTTTCCTGATGGTAGTCCTGTTGATTCTACGCATAATGTACAGAAAGGATATTTTCAGAGTTGCGGAGACGTTGTTGCAATAAGCCTTGCCCAGGGAAGCCCACCCCCGTGTTTCTTACATGAATGTGTTTACAGAACAATGGTAGATGCTAATACAGACTTCATGAGTTTCGACGACAACGACATTACACCTGCGGAGAAGATCCATTTAGAGAATGTTGTAAGTGACCTTCACAGCAATTCATTGGCTATAATAGAACACAGATACATGGGCAAGATTGATCAGGAGCACAACGGTGACATTCGTAGATCTATTGTTGTTAGTACTGTCAGCAAGCGACAATTATACTTAAGCCAATTCATGAAAGGACTTGAACTTTACAGACTTGCTGAAATGAAACAAAATCCTGAAGCATTCAAGCAATATTTGATGATGGGACAAGCCCAACCAGTTGATGCCAACTTGGTTTTTTCACTCATGAAAACACGTTATTCAATTAATGGCTCAACTCAAAAGGAAATCGAGGAGCGTGTTATGGATTATTTTCAGGATTTTTGAAAGCATTGGAAGATAATAATGAAAACATATCAGGCTATTCTGAGGCAGTGTCGTGGAATTATGTCGAGATAGAAGAAAGTTTGGAACCATCTGCTCAACAAACAAATGAAGAATTTCAGGTGGCAGAGATAACAGTTCCAGGGATGGTTCCAGGGTTGGCTCACTGGTCAACGACATCGAGTGATCAATGGCGATCCCTTATCCATTTATGTCAATTTCAACCATGATTGTCTGGTTCATCAACCAAACCACACTATCTGCTTTCCATGTGTTGGTGCTTGCGGAAGGGAGCTAACCCTTCTGGTTAGCCACATGGGAGAGGAAGAAAGTTTCAAAAAAGTCTTTACTACTGCTCTTTCTAAAGGGCAGGCTTTCGCAAGGCCATAGTGCACGGTACGTGGACAACATATATGTTTTGGTTTAAAAAAATTATAATAAGTTATTGTTATTGTTATGAGACAGAAGTTAAACTTTAACCAAAATATAATATAATTATATTACAGTAGATGGTTAGGTTTTTATCCGGTGGCGGCACCAAGGGGCGAATGCCGCCCAAATTATTTTCTCCCGCCCCCCCATTTTGCCCCCCCTCAAATTTATTAGTCACTGAGAGCGAGTAAGGGCTACACAAGCGTTTTGTCATTATCGGAAAATGTATGACTATAAAGTTGTCATTATTCATTAGTGAATGCGAGTATACAGTTTGAATATGAGTTTGTAAAAAACTTGCCAATACTCCAATAATATACGTTTTAAAAAAGACAAAAAAGCTTTAGTTTTGCAGAGTTAAATTCTCAAACATGTAAGGCACTAATAAAATACATCGCATATATGGGGGGCGAATATCCTAAAGGGGGTGATATTCCTAGTAAAAAAGAGTCCAATGAACTGAAGCTCACACTTCATTGAGCTGAATGAACTCAAGCTCACAGTTGATCGAAATGGATCCCGGACATGTCAGTGAGGAGCAAAATCTGGGAGAACATTCCTAGTGTCAGGATCATCATATCCGTCATGTACTATGGGGCCTAGTGGGGATGCTAGACAGGGAGCTTTCGAAACCTTAGGTCCTAATGGCTGGGCTTCCCTCTACCTCTACTCATCCCCCTACCTTCCCTCTGGGTTGGTGAGTGGGGTTCTCATCAGAACTCTACTTCCCTGAGGCTATGAAACAGGAACAGCAGATAGGAACAGGATCAATATAATTCATCAGTGCAAATAAAAACTTTTATAGACATGGTGTCACTTAAAATTTAATAATAAGAGCCAAACTAGTAAGATATAAGTATGAATGCTTGGCTATTATGTATGTAACAAACAACCAAACATGTGCTCAAAGGTCATTTTACTTCGCCTAGGAATCAGAGATTTTTATGCCTAAAACACCATAAATTTTCGTCAACAATATAAATAAATACCATTTTTATATTTGTCAATTTCAGTATGAAACGATTATTTCAACACAAAAAAGCGATATGAGGACATACTTGGTCGTACTAGTGAAGCTATACTAAATACAAATAAATTTACAACGCCATGGCAACGGCAAAACATTGAAATTGTCTAGAAATGATACAAATACCTGCCTTGAAACTCCAGACACGGCTCCCAATGCCAGGTTGAGATACTTGTCTTCATACGAAGACATTCCATCATTACTAGCACTATCAGTTTGCAAAATAAAGCCAAAAACGTCTTCAGAATGCGATTCAAACAAAACTACAACACAATACATTTCAACGCTCGTGCGTTCCCGTGCGCGATAATCAGGAAAATTGCTCTAAAAGATTTGTTTTTCTGCCTAAGCCAATCAAACACTCCGGAAGTGATTCCTGCAGTCTTTTACCAGGAAACTGTAATGCTTTACCAAGAATTTGGCGTCCGAAGTTGGCCGAACACTTTCCGATCACGAGAATTGCCATAATAGGCTTAGATTATTTCGCAATTTCCCGAGACTGCTCCGAGCTATAGAATGGAAGATGGCGATTCCTTTGGTATATTTGTTATTATTATACGTTGAAAAGAAGCAAAAAGACGAGCATTTGAATCAGGCGGAACATTCAAAATGCAACAGCAAAATTGATAATGTGTCATTTGCATAAATTTCACCGCATTGATCATTTCAAGGTAAGACATTCGCTTGAAATTGAGCGAGGAACAATAAAATTATATGAATATTTCTGAATATATAGTATCGATCAAGCGGAATTTTTTGGTGGTATTTTCGTATGTCTACTGCAAATACTCGCGAAGTTCTTTAATATTTAATCTTCCCGTCATATACGTCGGAAATTAATATTGGCGGATCGAATTGAGTTAAAGTTACCGTTTAATGCAAATAAAGATCTAACCTTGGTGACGTTGATGAATACTTGTAGACTTGACAAATCGATACGTTTATACACAGTAAAAATCCAATGATCAAGAAGAAACGAGCGCTGCCAACACCGACGAATAGACTATCACAGGCGCTGTAAAAATGTAAATTACATTGACGTCAAACAGACATATATCAAAATATATTTTAATCGCCTCTTTCCGCGTACAGATGGACACATGCTTTAAACTGAAACAGATACAGCATATACTTACAATAAGATGTTGACAAAGAGTTATCCCAACCAAATGAATGAGTACTCCTACACAATATATCTTGATTCAAGATAGACGCTATAAAATGTAAATTGACATGATCATGATGATATGCCTGAAGGCGCACTGATGTTACACTGATGGCGTCAAACAAACAGATCGACAGACACGCACCTTTTTACGTACAGATAGACACATTCACTTTTTAAATGTAACAGATACTATATATGTATATACTTACATTGAAGATGTCAGCACAACGTTTTCCAATGAAATACACTGTAGCTTCGAAGAGAGTGCAGCAAACATGTGTTTGTGTTAGCCAAGAACAATGCCATGGTGTAATATTTCTGCCCGCGGCTTCAACCAAATATGGTCAGAATTACCATATTTGGTTGAATTGCTAATAAGCTGTTTTAATACAAAGGCTAGTCTGCGAACCCAGACGTCATTTCCGACGCTCATTCTTCCTGTGAAGAATGAGCGTCGGAAATGACGTCTGGGTTCGCAGACTATACAAAGGCAAGCTCAAAATTAGTTGGATAAAACTTTTATTACAGTATCATACGGAAATTTCCAGTAAGGAATACCCCAAGGAGGCTTTCCTCACGATTCCTTCTGAATATAGTCATACAAAGTCATATGGTCTCATGTGGCTTTACCTAGCATATTAAACTGTCAGGTTTAATAATAGACTTCACCAGTTCTTATCAGATTCAGAACGTCAAGAAAACGTCAAACCTTAACGTTAGGATGACGTTGTTTTGGTGTCATATAAAAACGTTACACACTAACGTTGCTGCAACGTTAAAATCTAACATTGGTAAGAAGATATCGCATGACATCCTGGAACGTTGCAAAAATATCAAGTCTTAACGTCAGGACGACGTTGTTTACGACGTTGTTTTGATGTTGTATCCAAACATTACACATTAACGTTGCTGCAACGTTAAAATCTAACATTGCTTAGAAGATATATTGATGACATCCAGGAATGTTAATTTCAATGTTAAACCAACGTTTACACCACGTTCGCCCATTCTGGATAGAAAAGTAATGTTGTGTGAACGTCGTGTGAAAGTTAAGTTTAACTTAACTTTGTTACAACCTTTTACCAATGTTGTAATAACGTTATGTGCTAGCTGGGTTAGGCCAAAAACAATTTGAACAAACAAACAAATGTCAAACGGTGAAAATAGACTTGTAAAAGTAAACACTGCAGTTAATGGCTTCCTGAATCTTTCTTTTCATTGGACGAGCTTTAGTTTGATTAGATCATCTTTTTGTTCTGCAATGCGATTGGTTAGTGTTCTCTAAGTGGCCCCACTTATTGTAGATGCACTGTAAAACCCCAATTAATAATCAACTTGACTGCATTAAGGGTAGCCTGGCAACATTCCTTGTGAGACCCTTTTGTATAAAAGGAGTCATCAATATAGCCAAAACAGGTGTCCAAACTGAGATCTAAGTGTTACAAAAACTGGCTTCGCGACCTTTGTAAAAACTCTAAGACTACTTGACAAACCCATTGGTAAACAAGTGAAACAATACAATTTACCCTGTCATATAAATTTTAAGTATTTTTGATGCTCCAATGCTATAGGAACAGAATAATAAGCATCTTTGAAATCAATGGAGGTCATGAAGCAACCAGGTCTCATACAACAGCAGTATCTAAAGTATTTTATTTTAAAATGGTGATACGAGACAATTAATTTAGTGCCTTTAAATTGAAAATTACTCTACTAGTTCCATCTTTTTTGGGTGTAATAAATATATCAATATATCTTTAACTTGTGATAAAATATCCGTCTTAGTTTCATCAAGTGACTCCACAGGCAGCCCAATCTCGCAAGGGTCAGTATAGACTTATAGTATAAGTGTATATTATAGTAATGTATATTATAGTAAAAATATGTCATAAAATATAAATTTTAAAATGAAATTGACTTGCCTATTTGATAGTGTGTGTTCTCCTTGTATTCCTCCTTTGTTGGACTAATATTTTCTGAGACTTTGTATTCGATGTTACTGGTAGTATACATGAAACATGATAAAGGCTAACTATTTGCGATCGTCGATCCGACAGCATGGTGCTTCGAATCACTCAAATCGCTTAATTTTCCAAAATATTCGCCAGCATGTACAACAAATGCTGTTCTTCGAAAATACGGAGGTACTTCGGTGAGATGTACAAGTTTTGGACCATATTTTAACAATGGAAATCAAAACCCATTTTATATTGAACTTGCCCAGACCGAAAATTACTACGGCGAACCCTGTGCAACCAGGCCCCTTAAAACCATTGGGATTTCCGGGGGGGAGGGTTACATTAATTCGAAATATGATCGTTATATAAAAGGATAATTTGAAATTTGATATATAGACATCATAAATTGTTTTAAATA